AACCCACACCCACACCCACACCCACACCCACACCCACACCCACACCCACACCCACACCCACACCCACACCCCACACCCTCATACGCTCCCTACGTCTTAGGACTTTGCCAACAATGTATCAATTGACAATCATTTTATTGAGAAGTAAGAATCAGGATAAATAATAGAACAGCCAAAAAAATGATATATACGGATCGTACTGTAGTTCTCGAGAATTTTAGTATTGCTTTCGACTTTATTGAGACTGTTTGTTCCACCATGCTTGTGGATCTACAGGTACGCCATTTTCTTTGATTTGGTAGTGTACATGATGATCTTTTATTCCCGGACCGGTGTTACCCATTGTGCCGATTTTCTGTCCTACGATAATGTTTTCGCCTTTTCTAACAGACTGACTTTCTGTATGCAATATTTCATGACTGACACCCTTATCATCTTGAATTTTTATTGTACCATATTTACCACCCACAAATGTTACGACACCAGATATAGGAGAGTTCACATTTGGATTTCTAAGGTTGATGCCAGTTTGTCCACCGACGTAATTGAAATCAACTCCACCATGAGGTTTTGGTCTTGTATTGGATGAGCCAAAGGGGCTTGTTACATGTGGACACAGTTCATTTTGGCAAGGCAAAATAGTATTCATGACTTTGATGAATTTGTTAGGGACTTCTGAAAAAAAGAAAAGATGCGTCTCTCTCATAGCTTGACCGTATAGACTCCAACAGAAAAAAATGAGCGCTATGACATCAAATAAATATTTATTTTAATTTTTTGCAGGATCTGCTTGTCTGCATAGTAAAAGAAATAGGTTTTGTGGAACTCACGTATATTTTCGAAGAAAATAGTGAGTGTAAGTTTTAAGTTCGAGGTTTTGCGGCTCCCCCTCCCCTTACAGACAGGCCCCTTTACAGACCATAGTAACGAAAGAGAACATTACATACACCCCCCCCCCCCCCCCAATTACAGACTGCAACAATCGTATTCATCAAATACTCGATGGTGGAGAAAAATAACTTCAAATTAGAAAACAAAAAAAAAGATTATTATCGAGTATATAGCAATAATTATAAATGAAATCGAGCGCGCTTAAATGAAAAAACAATATTTTCTTTTTTTAATATATATTTTTAATATACAAATAAATAATAAATTCCCGCTCTTTTCATCGATTCTCAAGGAAAACAACTATAGTGGACGAGAAGTCTTTCAGTATACAGATGATGCGTCAGGTAACAAAGCTAAAGGTATACGTGAGTTCCACATTTCAGCTCCGTATGAGCTGCGCTAACAAGCTTTTCTTTAAGACGGATTTTATTCTTCTGATCGTAACGCTGAACCTGAATGTAACGAATTATTGACCGTTAGGCTTCACTTCCCTTATCTTTTCTTGTTCGTATGACTTCTCTCTTAGTGTTGACCTTGACGATGTCTCTTTCTCTTCCTCGTCTCTTACGGGAAAGCTATATAAGCGTATATTCGCAGTGATATCGATACGATTAGAGTGATGAAGTAGCTCAATAAACATCATTACTGAGGATAGCATTAGAGTTACACCTCTAGTTCGTCACACTATCGCGCTTTGAAAACATCTTTCTGGCGAAGCGAAACAGAAAAAATTTTGCACAATAGTAACGTTTTTTTCCTATCGAGATTTTCGATTTGCAAACGTTGGCAGATTGTTGAGTGGGCAGCTGTGAGTGAATAGAAGAACTACAACTATCCGCAGAATATGGCAATACAAATTTTGGGTTCCCATCTGTAGTTGTATTACAATTGTACATGCTATGGATGACGGCAGAGTGGACAAACCCTATCCGAAGTCTGAATTTATGAAAGCTCCTCTGATCTCGCACTTAACTTGCATTCAGTCTATTTTGGAGTTGGATTTACCTAGACTTTTAACGCTTATTTTTTAGCTCGAATCTGTATTTCTTTCCTTCTGTTGCTGTTTGTTTAACCTGTTAGCCAGTTTCTTTATCTCTTCTTGTGTCTTTTGACCTACCAATTGCAGTAGACGCAAGAATTTTTTCTGTCTGTGTTTTTATTCTTTGTATCCTATATATCGCGGAAAATGCTTTTATTTTTCTTTTTTTAGGCGTCATTCTTGTGTCGTTGATAGGCACTACTATCGATAATTTGTTTATATCATTCACGAGGCTTCAAGTTTTCTTTAAAAACAGGGATATTTAATCCAAATCGTCTGAGCTAGCCAAACAACGTCTACGTGTGCACATTGCGTTAGTAGCAATGGAGTAAGCGTATTCCCAGAGCGTGCTTTTGATACGGTCATATCGGTCGAGAGTAGCAAAATTCTCTTTTTTTTCGATTGGCATTACTAACAATGAATGTTTCGTGTTGAAAAGAAATTGTTACGAAAAAAACGGATATTGGTGAATTTCGATAAAGAATAACGCTGAACATGGGAGAGAAAAAACGGAACATTCTAGTAAAGGTAAGTCATAAATAAGTCTTGAATTCATGAAATATTTTTGCAATAACATTTTCATTGAAGTCACCTACAATATAAACTTACATCTGGGAACATAGATTATTGAAGATGTAATATTCAGATTTGCTACGACTAAGCCCGGACTTGAGCTTACTAGGACTAAGCTTTCATCCAACTTTCCCACCTCTGAGTGTCAGAGAAATCTTTTCAAGTTGTGTATGACCGTAAAAGTATAGATGCAAGTGAAGAGGAGACCGGCAGTCCACCTCCATCACATTCAAATGGGAAAACTTATAATATGTATACATCATATTCATGAACTAGCCGAACACTCCAAACAAGAAAAAAAGCCATGAACTATGTGTGTAATCCGCCTAAGTTGTCTGAGTTTTTATGGAAAGCTCTATACGAATTTGACTTAGCAAGAAAAGAAAGAATATTTCACGTTTCGGCTACTTTGAAGTATATACCAGTATGAATAGGTGTCGATTCTCAGATTACTGGATGAGATGCTCCCATTTCGGCTGTCATCCAGCACACTATTCGTATACAATCGTATTCAGAATTATAAAAATCTCTTTCTTGGAAAATATCAAAGAAATAAATAGCTTGACCGAAGAAAAATCCAAAGAGTGTCATTGCAAGAAAAGTATTGAACAAAGGATTACTGGCTTCATCGAATGGGTAAATTTTACAAAAACTATGCCGGTGTTCATTTATACATGCTTGTTCTTTTTACTGGATATTCTCGACTGTTCGAAAGGTATACTGAAACATCAGTAGATGATTTTTCCGATTATTTTCTTCTGAAAAGATAGCGAAGACTAATTCTGTTCTACAAAATTACTTACGACAAGAAATTGTGAATTTTTGAACGCGAGCGTTCGAATTGTCTGCGACGATCAGTCCTCCGCTTTGGTCAAAGTGTAGACCGTATGGATTATGTAGTTGATTAGGTTGTGTGCCAGGACCATTGCCACCAGCAACTACCGATCCAGAGGTTGACCTAGGTGCCCAACACATGATCCGGTGGTTATATGTGTCTGAGATGTATATATTGCCATTTGTGTCGACAATAACTGCACACGGAGAGTTGAGTTGATTGAGTTCTCTGCCAGAGATACCTGTCTGTCCAGCAACTGTCACACCATTGCTCTCACCTGGTGGCCACTTTTGGATTCGATGATTGTCTGTGTCTGCGACATAGAGTATGTTTGATGCGCTGGTATCGACGAAAAGACCGCGTGGATTCCAAAACTGAGTGGCTCCTGAACCGCTACCATTGCCACAAACGACCATACTTGCCAAGGGTGATGACCATTTCACAATCCGGTGATTGTATGTGTCGGCAATCCAGATGACCAACGTGTTTGGATCGACAAATATACCACCAGCATAATTAAGCTGGTTAGTATCACTACCGACACCATTACCACCAGCCACAACCGAACCGATCTGGGCTCCGAGTGCCCACTTCATCACCCGACTCTGATCGGCTGCATATAAATTTCCATTCGCATCCAAGCTCAAACCATGTACAACTGAAGATTTGAAGTATATTAAGATGTGTAAAGATACACCAAATGTTACTTACTGACGTCAAATTGATCGAGACCTAACCCTGAGGTACCGCCAGCTACGGTTGTTCCACTAGTTGCGCCGAGAAGCCACATTTGCACTCGTGGGACGAGATTGCCGGTGTCCGAAACATAGACAGCTCCAGTGTTGTCGAGAACTGCGTCCCAAGGAGAAGTGAGCAGATGTGGACTGATGCCATTGGCTCCTAACGATGAGCCAGCAACAGTTGTAGCATTCGCTGCCCACATAGCTCTTGCACATACTGTGTTGGGTGGTAAAGCTAAAGACCATTAATTGTATTAACTTTTTAAAGATACTTTCTTCCAGTCTATTTTTGCGTTTGCAAACTATGCAGATGAGTATTTCTTGAAACAATTATATTGAGCAAAGTAAATGCTTGCTCATCCTCCTGTACAAAGGTCTCCTATAAAATTCTAAAAGACATCTTCAGGTGCTATAGTAGATCTTATTATCTCGAACTTTTGTATTACCAATGACTTTTTAATGATTTCAATTCACTTAAAATTCTCGAGAGGTAACGAGTATTTCAGGGATAACCGATCTTTTCGTACCTTGCTGACATCTCTACTAACTCACAAATACTAAAAGTTAATTTTTATTCTCCAAAAGATTCGTCTTTCTATTCTTCAGGAGAATTTATACATAGAACTATTTTCACAAGTATCATGCCATTGTAACACTATGAGGAGTAAAGCTCTTCAAAATTTGATTTGTTCTCAGTACAAAAACGATGATGATCTGAGTAAGATCTGTCCAGATTCAAATGACTGTTCGGAACTTTGTTTCATAAAAGCGCGATGCAATAAAGATTTAACAGGCGGGTGAGTGGATGCTGATGTGAACGAAGAGAGGATTGACACTCATCCTCACCCTCATCCTCTTTCGTCCAGAGTCCATAAACAGTGAGGAATTTGTTAAGTCTTGTTGCCTCAAAATAACCAGAAAACGGAGCTCTTTCTAGCCACGTAATATGCGTATATGCAATTAGATACCACTAAAAAAGTCAGTTTGGGCCAATTTCGCTCTTCATCCACCCTATCCTTTATCGAAATGCACGAAGATTCTTGGAATTCCAATAGGTCAGCCTATACGAATTGCTTTACTAGATGATTCTATTCGCAATAAGCTCATGTGGTACATATAGGTCAAGCTTGACTTGAAATGGGATCTCTCAAACATAAGAAACTCGTGTTTTCAAGTAGTAGTATGATTGTTAACTAAAATGCATACTCGTTCCGGTAAATGGTGTAGTTGTTCTTGAAGTCGTGGTTGTAGTGGCAGCTATCAAAAAGGGACCATAAGACAGCAACGAATTGTAATCTACTCTATTACTCACGGCAAGATATGTTGTATCGTATAACCTGATGGGTGTCATAATTTACAGTGAAAAGATTTCCATTTGGATCGAAGCTGAGACCGCGTATGTAATCGATTGAACTGGATAGCTGGTTTCCACTAATAATGACGTTGCCAGCAATTGGCAAGCCGTAAGTCGCGTTAGCTGGCCAGCGCATGATCCGGTGGTTATTTGTGTCCGCGATAAATATATTTCCGTTAGTGTCAACAATCACCGCCGACGGCATTTTGAGGAGATTGAGTCCATTGCCCGCACCACCTGTCTGTCCAGCCACTGTCACACCACTGCTTGCATCCGGTAGCCACTTTTGAATTCTATGATTTTCTGTATCTGCAACATAGAGAGTGTTTGAGGCAGCAGTATCGACGAAGACTCCACGTGGATGCCAGAATTGGTGTGCTCCTGAGCCTGGACCACTGCCATAGATGACAACATTCCCTAAGGGTGATGACCATTTGACTATACGATTATTGTAAGTGTCAGCAATCCAGATGGCTAACGTTATTGGATCGACAAATAGGCCATCAGGGGTATCAAGGGTATTGTTGGCGTTACCGACGCCATTGCCACCAGCAACCACGGTACCTGCTAGGGCACCTGGTGCCCATTTCATCACTCGAGCATTGCCCGAGTCGACTACATATATGTTTCCGACTGTATCCACACTCACACCACAAACTGGAATGAATTCCATTGATTCATTTATACACAAATCAACCAATACTCACTGTTACCGAATTGATTGAGACCGCTGCCTGCGCTGCCACCAGCTACAGTTGTTCCACTGCTTGCGCCTGGCAACCATTTTTGCACTCGAGTGTTGAAAGGATCGGATACATAAATAGCTCCAACGCTATCAACGAATACAGCCCAGGGACGGGTAAGCAGTTGTGAAGTCAAGCCGCCAGTTCCTTGGGAGCCAGCCACTGTTGTGCCATTGACATTCCACACCGCTGTCGGGCAAATTGTGATTGTTTCCGTGTACACGATCAGAAATCTTAAGAAAATCTGTTATTCAGTACTTTTCATGGGAATTTAATGAATCTTACATGATTTGATAGATCCACGTGAGATACCAACGATTGAGCATCATTTTGATCATTGTAAAATATCTCTACATGAAAAATTTGTGATTGCGTGTGTCAGTCAATGAATGTGTAAAACGCTCCTAGAGTACCTTTTCGATGGTGAAATGTGGAACTCACATGGTTTCCTTAGCTTGATAACACTAATACACAATATGTAAAGTGAAAGTCTGTCGTACATCATAATTGTCGTTCATGCCGTGCAGTATTTTTTGTTCCTGCTGAACTAAGGATAAGAAATTTGACGCCTATCATCCACAACTGACAAGGTCAGTAATAGAGGAATGTCTATAATGGGATGGGCAGTCGGAAAATTTCGCCGAGAAACTGACACTCACTATTTCTTTGGAAAACACATATAATTTCAGAGAAGAACAAAATAACGCCGTCTATATCTACACCTATCTACTCATATCCATAATCCTCTATATGGCGCCCAATGACGATGAAACATATTCCATATTTTAGAATAGATTCAAATGATAGTATTCTCAAATCGAACGGTGGAATTAACACATAGAAACAAAGTCGACACTCAAGTTCAGTGTTTTCGTCCGACATATAAGAGCGATATGGTCTTCACTATCAGTTTTTGGAACCAATATTAATGTGTCATAGACATCTTGTGTGAACGTCATTGTTTCTTTCGTATTCACCGTGCTACATAGTCTCGTATGTGATGATTGTTCGTCTCTTCTCCCCATGCTCATTATTGTTTCTTTCTGTCAATCATGACCATTGTGTCTCTATCTCATCTACATAGGCTCACGCTCTATATAATCTAGCTCAAGTTGGAAATATAAAGTGGCCAATTAAAAATTGTGCCAAATGGCTTGGGTATTCATGCTCTTTTATTTTCGGTTACAATAAGAGCTACCTAAATTGTATTCTTATGTCTGTAAGAATTGCTTACTTGTTTGTTGTGAATACTGAGGAATCAAGAATAACAGCTATAAATGAACTCAGAAACAAAAAAAAATATCTCTTTATATAGATGATGATAGAAAAAAGTGAATAATAATGAGTCAAGAAAAAGATGAATGTATATGAATGACATCATCATTTCTATTTTTATATAGAAAAAAATTGTGGACAGAGTACACTATTCTGGTTACGAAAAAATTGAAATAATGTCACAATTCATAGGTGAATAATAATCAATCAATGATGTCATTGTTATTTCACGCAATTAAAGAGAATGTTTCTGTGAAAATAACAATGACATCATTGATTGATTATTATTCACTTATGAATTGTGACATTATTTCAATTTTTTCGTAAACAGAATAGTGTGGGTGGGTGTGGGGTGCGGGTGTGTATATGAGTCTAGAATTACCTTTTCTCCAGACCCGAACCCATACCTAACACCGACACCTTGTTGACTCCGTAGTTTTTGATTTATTGATGGATGAAGAAGCATTACTCTTTGTTTTTGTTTTTTTTTAAGGATAATTGTGATTGCTGTCGTTTATTAATTAATTTTCCACATTTTGCACCACACCATAAATATCGAGGATCACTAATATTAGTTGTACTAACGGGTGGCTTATGGCACTTTTGATGATGTTTAGCATGACATTCAACTAAATCATTATCTTTTTCTTCTGTAAGAACCATGCATTTCTTACAAACAGAACCTAACTCAATTGCAAATTCATCAATATCACGACACGATGATGATGATGCTGGATTTATTTGAGATTCGGATGAGTTTGATTTCATATCATCATTATCATCGTCATCTTTGTCATTTGTATAAATACTATCTTCTGATTGTTTGTTTTTCTTTTTTGAAGCTTCATCATCATCTTTAATAGTTGATGATTCTAATCGTTTGAATGGTGTGGGTGTGGGTGTGTGTGGGTGTGGGTGTGGGTGTGGGTGTGGGCGTGGGTGTGGGTGGGTGTGGACGTGGGTGTGGGTGTGGGTGTGGGTGGGTGTTGGTGTGGGTGTGGATGTAGCTGTAGATAGGACTTATAGGATCACACGCCCACACCCATACCCACCTACATCCCACACCCACGCCCCACACCGACACCCACACACCCTCCACACCCACACCCACACCCACACCCACATCCACACCCACACCCACACCCGCACCCCACCCACACCCACACACCCACACCAACGCCCACAACCACACCCACACACCCACATCCACACCCACACACCCACACCCACAACCACACACCCACACCCATACCCACACACCCACATCCACATCCACACCCACACCTACCCTCAAAATTTCAATTTGAACTAGGACGATTTTAAACTGGACTGCATTTTAATCCGTCCTGCGACACATATGTCCGTTGGAGATTGTTAAGCTTTGCACGATTTAATAACTATTTTTATCTTCGAAAAAGTATTGCGAACTTCACAATGTCAGCAGAGAATTCATTTAATCCTCTGCGACTAAACAATCACGCTTTATTTATTTTGAATCCTGTTATCAACTTAGAGAATTATGAGTGAGAGCACGCAGATAGCTCTTGGCTCAGTAATCACGTGAATTAATGTTAAAAATAATAACGAATTTAATGTCTAACTGAATCATGGATTCAACTAGTGACCGGTTCGGATGCTTTTCCCTTCTTACGGAATACAGCGCGCCAATAGTCCATGCGTCCTTCACGCATATTCTCGTACATTATAGTACCAGGTAATCCAGCCCAGACACGATAAGCTTCCTGCTGCTCGGATGGAATGATACGCTTGATTACTTCTTCATGAGACTTGCTAGTAATATCGAGCGAATGGAGGACATTACTTGTAATATCAATCTTATCTTGGATGAGCAATTCGCCACTTGCTGTCAGATAATCAATCGATCTTTTTGAACCATCATGATAGCAGATGTCACACCACAAAAAAAATCCATCGGGACGAAGTACACGAGCGACCTCATGTACGAATCGATCAATCATTTGTGGACCACCATAAAGATGTGTTGCTTCTATACACAAAACTATGTCAAAAGATTCATTTGGAAATGGGAAATGTTTGGTTGCGTCTAATTCAACAAATGACAGCGTAGGTACTTTTGAATGTTTTTTTCGACAAAGAGCAATGGCACTTGGAGAGATATCGCTGCCAACATAGGAACTAGGTGCGTATTTGTTAACAAACCACGCGGCGGCATTACCTCGACCACAGCTCACCTCGAGCACGTCCTTTTCCTTGAGTGACACGCCTGAGAGCACCTATGACAAACATGATATTACATAATTGATGTTATTGAAGCGTACAATTTAAAAAATAGATTCAATGCACTGAACAAACAACAGAACATTGTCGATACCCATTTTTATGCTATCTACTTACATGAGAAGAACATGTAATTATAAAATCTGCATTCAAGCAAGTTTATTTCTAAAGAAGTTATGCCTGTAGAAAAGCGGCGGCTACGAAGGGGAGAAGAAAAGATTCGAATCAAAACTTGCACTCACTACTTTTATAGTGAATTTCAGAAAACGTCAGCATAGTGATGTTTTAGTCCTGTAGACGTTTCAAATAGCACTGTATAATGAAATGATGAAAATATATGGTTCTTTCTGAAAACATTCAAAGATTTGGATTTTTCGAATCTAGGTCAAGGAGGAAACAGCGGATTTTTCGGATTTGAATCCGAAACAATCCGAGAAAAATTTCGAAAAATCTCGAAAAATCCAGAATCAAAGTCACCACGAGGAACTTTCTTTGACCATAGCTTCATGTGTTTAGACGGCAAATAAGCAGTTTTACAGCGTCGTAGGTGCAAGAAACGAGTGTGTATATAAAAAAAAGTCAGATGCCAACACACGTGTTTCAGAATCCCTGGATGATGATGAATGTTACGATCCTGGCCATAACTTACCTTTTTTGATTTTGTACTCTCTCCTTCGTGATTTCTCTTCGTTGTCCGCTACGAGCTCTCTCTCTCTC